GTGGAGGTGATGGGATGCTGTATCTATATTTGATTGTTCCTCTAGTGCTTTTCTGACTTCTTCCTTATTTTTCTCAGTTCCATTCATTGTAAAGTGTTTTGAAATATTTGTAACCATTTTTCTGAATTCCTTCTCAGGCATTTCCAAGGCCTGCCCTCCTTCCAGAATGTAGTTCATGTCTACCACTAGGTCATTTGTCTAAGACATTTTATCTTGTTTCTGGATATGTGCTAACATGGTTATCTGCTTTTGCTTTTTGGACATGTTTAGTGTTTATCTGTGGCCTTAATACTTAATTGAGTGTGTGTTTTGGTATTTTTTATGGTTTCTGATTGCCTCCAGGTAGATGTGATCAGGATGTGGGCTTTCCTTTTCACTCTTCTTATTGCTTAACTCAGAGTAAGTTTCACAGGTGTTGTCTGCCTTCCTGGTATATGGCAGTTGGTATTGGTTCTTGCCTGGAATTAGGTACTTTGTAGAGTGTGATTGTAGCTTTTGGTGCTATATAGAGTGTGATTTTAGCTTGACTATATGGCAGCAGTTGCTGTTTCTTCTTGGGTAATATAGGGAGATAAAGAGTCCCCCAAAGGTAAAAGAGGGAGCATAAAACAGCAAAACATCAACAGCAAAAAAACAAGAATAAAGAAACCCCACCAAAACAACAACAACAACAACAACAACAAAAAAGATCTAGATTGGATACTGTAGTCTATAATTGCAGAAAGGGGAGAGGAGGGAGAGAAGAAAAAAAAAGAAAATCTGTAGCCCAATATGTGTATGACTTTAATGTCATTTTTCAGCTTCTTACCTTCAAAGCCATCTGATAAATTTCAAGATGCCACTGTAGGTTGCTATGCTATGCTTCAGGATTTAATTAAATTTTCACTCTGTTTTGTTTTTAAACTTCCTTTCCCTCTCCACTCCCCTTGTTCTGGCCTTTTCCCTATTGAAAAAACAGTTCTGGTCCAGCTCTCGGGCTTAGAGCATCTGTGCGCATGCGTGGCAGAGGAACCCACCAGTGGTGGATGTGGGAGTTGTCCACTTGCTCAGGCACCCCCTGTAATCACAAGAATGGAGGTTTGCAAACAGTGTGTCCACTTTTGCTCTGAGGATCCCGCTGTGTTATTCCATGGTGGGTCTGTTCTCCCCTGCTTGGTCTTGCTGTTTGGTCTTGCCAAAGTTGCCAGCTCCAGGCCACAGAGCCCAACAGATTCAAAAGTACACAATTTATTGCTTCTGCTACAAGTTCCTCTAGCTATAAGCCTTCCAAATTTAAAATTATTCTTAGATATGTGGTTGAGTTTCGAGCTCTGCCCTGAACTCGCTTCGCTTGGTATTCTGTGGTATTGCTGATGGCAAACTTCACAGCACCTGCACCTCTACCCTATCTATCATCAAACCCCACCTCCGCATTGCTTATTTTTAGAGCACTGAAGTAAAGCTATAAAATAATTTAGCACAGCACTTGTTCAACAATAAGATTTTAATAATCACTATCATTGTGGTTCTTCCTAATGTTCATCTCACAATCATTTCTCTGTATTTTCTTATTTTCTTTACCCAAAATTGAAGTTATTTGAAATAAGACCCATGCTTTATTTGTTGTTATGCCTTGATATTGTTAAGTGCTTTTGTGTTGGTTCTGACTCATAGTGACCTTCTACAGGGTTTCATGGAACAGCTGGTGAGCTTGACCACCGACCTTGTGGTTCAGACCAACTTTTCAGTTCAGCTAATGCACATTATTTACACATTTACCAAAACCAAACCCACTGCCATCTAATCAATTTTGACTCATCGTATAGGGTTTCTGAGGCTGTACAGTTTTATTAGAAACAGAAAACCTCATCATTTTCCCATGGAGTGACTGGTAGGTTGGAACCTCCAACCTTATGACTAGCAGTTTTTTGCTCTGGTAGTGTAGTGGTTATGAATCAGGCTGTGAACCTTAAGGTAAGCAGTTCGAAGCTACCAGCTGTTCCGCAGGAGAAAGATGAGGCATTCTGCTCCTGTAATGATTTATAGCCTCTGAAACCCTATATAGGGTCGCTATGAGTCGGAACCGATCCCACAGCACATAACAACAATAACAACCATACTAAAAGGGTTCTTGTGTTTGATAAATTTTAATTCATTTGATTCATGATAAATAAATATTCATTTATTTTATCTCTGACAATAGTTAATACATGATGATGCAGACAATATTTCTATAACATATTTACTGATTATGTTTTTAGTATTAATAAGATAATTCATATATAAGCTATAACGATAGGTTACTATGATTAATAAATGATCTAAAAATTAGTCTATATTCAATCATTTTAGAATAACAACTTTCAATGAACTTTTTGTGAAAAAACAAAAACAAAAATAAACATTGATCTTTATGACACTGGTATGATCCTAAGCATATAGCAAAGATAATTCAAAGCAATTTTGAAGGGACTTTTTTGTTGTAATAAAAGGGTTTTCTTTAAACCCCTTCTGATTATTTTCTTTGCACATCTAATCACTGACTCTAAATTTAAAGCACATGTTTTTGTAACTTTATATACTTAACTTCTTGATTTAATTTTTAAGAATCCCAAATATTTTAGAAAACAGATACAATCATAGAAACACTACAGGCTTTCCAACATAGATTTTGAAATTCTTTGACAGTTCTTCTATAACTCACAAATAATGGCACTTAACAACAACAGTGTGAGTAACTCAGGGAAAATCACATATAGAATTTTCTTTCATTAAAGATACAAAAGGTTTTGTTTTTGTTTATTTGCCTTTTCCTTTTAACTTAAGTGCCAGTTAAAGAGTTAGAGGAATATCAGATCTTCTTAGATTTCTGATCGAAACTGTAGTGTAGATCCTTTCATTTTCTTTGCATAATCTTCTTCAAATTTCTCATACTGGGCCACAGTGAACTGATTCTTCCAGTCTCCTGAAATACCTGAAAAGAAAAAAAAAAATTAATAAAATGAAAGGGCAAATTTAAGACTACTGTAAATCTTTTAAGATCACTTTTAATTTGAATTATTATACTTTTTTTTAAAAAACTTTAAACTTCATAATATTATAGCTACTCTGTAGTTCGCTTCCTCACTGCCTACCAGTACTTTCCAACTCCTAGGCCTTCTTAATTTTGTATAAATTCCCACAGGTTTTTCTAGTATTATGTACAATGAACCAATACCTAAGTATCCAATTCCATCTAGTTGATTCTGATTCATAGCTACTCCATGTAGGGCTTTTGAGACTGTAAATTCCTATGGAGAAGAAAGAAGAAAGCCTCATCTTTATCCCACAGGTGGTTTGAATGGAGAACCTTGCAGTTAGTAGGTAAACAAATACCTTAAATTTTATTGTTGTTAAATGCTGGTGAGTTAGTTCCAAGTCATAGAGATCTTGTATAGGCTTTCTGAGAAGTAACTGGTGGGCTTGAATTGCTGATCTTGTGATTAGTAGTGTAGTGCTTACTCTACAGCACCACACCAGGATTCCATACCTTAAATGTTGTTGTTAGGTGCCATCCAGTCTGTTCCAACTTATAGCCATACTTTGCTTAACAGAATGAAACACTACCCAGTCCTGTGGCATCCAAACAATCCTTGTTACGCTTAAGCACATTGCTGCTGTCACTGTGCCAATTCATCTCATTGGGTTTCTTCCATTTTTTTCCCTGACCCTCTACTTTCTCTAGCCTGATATCATTCTCCAGGACTGGCCCTTCCTGACTATATGTTTGAAGTATAAGGGAAGAAGTCTTGCCGAACTAACTTCTAAGGAGCATTCTGACTATACTTCTTCCAACATAAATTTGTTTGTTATTCTAGCACTCCATGATACTTTTAATATTCTACTCTGACACCATAACTCAAATGCATCAATTTTTCTATGATCTTACTTATTTACTGTCCAACTTTCACAAGCATATACATACTTTAAATAGCTCTGAAAAATATTAATGGGAGAAAGCCAATGTCTCAAAACCCTTACTTATTAAAGGTTTCAAGGGCTTTATTAACAAAGACAATAGAGACATTTTGATTCATTTAAAAACTATATATTACAAAATTTAAAGAAAAGATGATAATCTATCTTATGAGGGGAAAAAAAATACATCTATGATCAAGCAAGATTAGGAATTGTTTATTATCATATAAAATTAAACAGATTTCTCTCATGTAGGATTTTTCAGTTTTCAAAAGACTGACCATATAAAAAATCTTGAAGGAGTAAAATTTCTTGTTGTTAAATGCCATTGATTCAGTGCTCACTTATAGTGACTCTGTGCAACAGAGTGAAACACTGCCTGATCCTGTGCCATCCTGACAATTACTGCTATACTTGAGCCTATTGTTACTGCTGCTGTGCCAATCCATCTCATTGGGGATCCCCCTCTTTTTTGCTGTCCCTCCAGTTTACCAAGCATGATATTCTTCTCCAGGGACTGGTCCCTCCTGATGATATGTCCAAAGAATGAGACTTGAAGTCTGGCCATCTTGGTTTCTAAGGAGTATTCTGGCTGTACTTCTTTGTACACGGATTTGTTTGATCTTCTGGATCTGATTTTAATATTCTTCTCCAAAACCATAGCTCAAATGTAGCAAGTCTTCTATGGTCTTCCTTATTCATTGCCATCAAGTCTTCTATGGTCTTCCTTATTCATTGTCCAACTTTCACATACGTATGAGACTACTGAATATACCATGACTTGGGTCAGGAGCAGTTTAGTCCTCAAACTGACACTGATATATATATATATATATTTTTTTTTTTATAGAAAGCTGATTAATGCATATACTAACAACCAACTTGTTTCACACACAAGCACATGATTCAGCTCAGTAAACATTTTTTAAAATGCCTATTTTGTGCAAGATACTATACATTGAGTTCAATGCTAAGGATACAATGATTTACAGCAATAGTAATGACAACCTCATTAATTTAGTAACCACAACATGAAAGTTTCAAACCTTCCAGGCTCTCTAAGGAAAAAAGTGAGGCTTTCTGCTCCTGAAAAGATCTACAGTTTTAGAAATCATGTGAGTGGGAATCAATTTGATGGCAGTGGGGTTAGGTTTGCTTTGGTTTAACATAATTTATGCTAGCTAACTTACATAGCAAAAATTTTATGGTGGTTGATAAAGATCTAGGTTATTTAAATGAATTGCATTCTTTAAAAAAAATTCTATTATTTTGTTGCTGTTGTTGAGCATATGCACCTTTCAGCACTTTCTACATGTGCCATTTAGTGTCTCTGATTACAGTCTTTGAATTGTATAACCCTTCTTATCTTTCTTTTTTGAATATTTCTTTCCCCAATAAAATACACAGTCTCCTAAGGTTCTGTAGTTCTCTTTTTTTTGAAAAATGACATTGATCATATATGACACTGGTATGATCTTAAACATACAGCAGATATCATTTAAAGCCTTTTTAAAGGAATTTTTTTTTAGTTGTAATAGAGCTTTAAACCCCTTCTGATTATTTTCTTTGCACATCTAATCACTGACTCTAAATTTAAAGCACATGTTTTTGTAACTTTATATACTTAATTTCTTGACTTAATTTTTAAGAATCCCAAAAATATTTTAGAAAACAGATACAATCATAGAAACACTACAGACTTTCCAACATAGATTTTGAAATTCTTTTCAGTTTATTTATCTGATGATTTGAGTTGCTGTAGTAAGTTTGATCCACTATACAAAGGGGATTCAAAAATTTCCATTATAAATTTAATTCTATTTTCTACAAAATTTTTGAAGCCTTCTTGTAGCTAGTTCTTAAAAGAACATAATGCTCATGACAGATAAGTTTTAACTGGTTAAGCTCAATTGTTGTCTGGCTATTAATATTTCAGGAAATATTTTTGGTTTAAGATTAAACATTATCTCAGGGCAATAGTTTCAGCAGCTCACTTAGCCTTATGACTCCAGGAAGTCTGAAGTCCATGAGAATTTTAAATCATGTTCTGCAATTTTTCTCCCTTTATATCAGAATTCTACTATGGAATCTAATCAGAATGTCCAGTAATAGTAGCTGGGAACCATCCAGTTCTGATCTCATTGCAAAGAAGCAGTTGTTTATATCCTCTGCTATTTCTATCTTTTCTTTCTACTTGTTCAAGCTAAACAAACATTTAAAAAAAAAACAAAAAACAATTGCTGTGCCTTGAATGGGCTCTTGTCAGCTTTGGAGCGGCTAGTAAGTTTGAACTGCCAATCTCAAGGTTCAAACTGACCTTGTAGTCCAGTACTTATCCTGCAGTGCCACACCAGGATACTACACTACAAACTAGATGATAGAAGAGAAACACTAAGCATATTAATAGGCCAATTATCCATGTTGTGCCATGAAGCCATGAATCTCAATCTCCAAACCAAGGTACCAAATCCCATAGGGTTTTTTATTGTATATAACTATCCTCAGCAGCCTTCTGCTGTTTTTGTAAATATATGTATCACACAACTTTTGCCAATTCAATGTTTGCAGATATACAACTTATTAGCAGTAAGTACAATTATAAGCTATACAATTCTACCCTTGTGTTGGTTATGTTGCCTGACTTCCATTGTCTTATAACATCCAAGTCTGATGCTTGTTGAGGAAAAACATTTTTTTCATTAGAAGATTTGTCTTATATATTAGGCTTGCATCAAAGATACAATTTCTCTGCACAGATTTGTTTTTCATTCTTAGTATACCCAATGTCTCTCTGTATATTATTACAGTGTCACTTTTTGCTTTCTTACAAATTCCATGTTATGGCCAACAAGCTGTACAAAAATTGTTATATGATGTCCTTACCCTTTCGCATGAAAGGTGACACAGAATGGTCCATTTCAGCTGTATTCATAGTGGTATAATTTGCACTTGGGTTCTTTTTCATCACATTGAATGAGCTATGATAGAGAATTTTATCCACTGTTTCTTCTGGCAGGTCTTTTTCTAGGAACTGTAACAACTTATGAAGACTGCACTTTGGATCCTGACAGAATTAGAAAGAAAAAAAGAATCATCACAGGTAGATTTAGTCATTGAGCAGGCAATACATTTAATAAGGTTATAGTATGACAATGTAGTGGAGGAAATAGTTTCAGTTTTGAATGTCAGTATAACTCACAGAACTCAGGCGATAAAGAAAATCACTTTATAGAGTCAGTTGACATTGCTCTCTCCTTCCCTCACAAGATGTCTTGTACTTCATCACTTACCCAAAATGCACAGGCATTATCTTAAAGAGGAAAAGGGTATGGACAGACTACATGACATATATTTAAGAGACTATGTTACAAAACTAAAGACCTATAGAGAATGTCGCAAAAAGGACTGTTTAAACAAATCAGGCTAAATATTTCAATCAAATTAGAGATGGAATTCTTTTTACATATTAATAATAATCAGGTGGAAGATGAGAAAATAAAATGTTTTAATTTTTTTGTAAGCAAATGACATTCTCTTTCCACTGTGATTGACACTGAGGAAACTACCATTGCCAAGATAATTACAGTTTCAAATTCAAGGAGCTTAGATTTCAACCAAATATAAAAAACACACAGATAGAATCAACAGAAGTTGTGGTTGTTGTTGTTAGGTGCCATCAAGTTGGTACTGACTCATAGCGACCTTATGCACAGCAGAACAAAACACTCCCCTATCTTGGGTCAACCTCATTACTGTTGCCGTGCTTGAGCTCATTGATGTGGTCATTTTACCAATCCATCTCACTGGGTGTCTTCCGTTTTTTTTCTGACCCTCTACCTTACCAAATATGATATCCTTCTCCAGTAACTGGTCCCTCCTGACAATATGTCTGAAGTATGAGCGACAAAGTTTGGCCATTCTGGCCTCCAAGGAGCACTCTGGCTGCACTTCCTCCAACACAGTCTATTGGTTCTTTTGGCAGCCCATGGCAGTTTTAGTATTCTCATCCAACACCATAACTCAAAGGCGTCAATTCTTCTTTGGTCTTCCTTATTCATTGTCCAGATTTCGCATGCATGTGAGGTTATGGAAAATACCATGACTTGGGTCAGGAGTACCTTAGTCCTCAAGCTGACATCTTTGCTCTTCAACACTTTAAATAGGTCTTGTGCAGCAGATTTGCCTAATGCAATACATCTTTTGATTTCTTGACTGCTGCTTCCATGAGTGTTGATAGTTGATCCAAGAAGAATGAAGTCCTTGATAACATCAATCTTTTCCCCATTGATAAGAATGTTGTTTATTGTTTCAGTGGTGAGGATTTTTGTTTTCTTGACATTGAGTTGTAATCCATACCGAAGGCTGTGCTCTTTGAGCTTCATCAGTAAATGTTTTAAGTAGTCTTCACTTTCAGCAAGCAAGGTTGTATCACATGCATATGTTAAACCCTGATACCGTGTTTTTCTTCATAGAACCCAGCTTCTTGGATTATTTGCTCAGCATACAGGTTGAATAAGTATGGTGAAAGAATACAACCTTGTTGCACACCTTTCTTAATTTTAAAACATTCAGCGTTCCTATGTTCTGTTCAAACAACTGCCTCTTGGTCCAGGTACAGATTCCTCCTGAGCACAATTAAGTGTTCCAGAATACTCATACTTTGTAATGTTGTCCATAGCTTGTCATGATCCACACAATTGAAAGCCTTTGCATAGTCAATAAAGCACAGGTAAACATCTTTCTGATATTCTCTGCTTTCAGCCAAGATCCATCGCACATCAGCAATGATATTCCTTCTTCCATGGCCTCTTCTGAATCTGTCTTAAACCTCTGGAAGTTCTCTGTCAATGTATGATTGTAGCCGTTTCTGTATTACCTTTAGAAAAACTTTACTCACATGGAATATCAAAGAGATTGTCCGATGATTCCGCATTCCATTGGGTCACCTCTCTTTGGAATGGGCACAAATATGGATCTCTTCCAATCTCTTGGCCAGATGGTTGTCTTCTAGATTTCTTGGCATAGATGAGTGAATGCCCCCTGTGCCGCCTCACTTTCTTGAAAGATTTCAATGTTTATTCCATCAATTCCTGGTGCCTTGTTCTTTTTCAATTACTTCGATGCACCTTGAATTTCCTCCATCAGTATCATTGGCTCTTGATCATATGGTACCTCTTGAAATGTTTGAACATTTTCTTTTGGTGCAGTGACTGTGTGTATTCCTTTCATCTTCTCTTGATGCTTTCTGCATCATTCAATAATTTGCCCAGATAATCTTTCAATAACGAAAGTCAAGGCTTGAATTGTTTCTTCAGTTCCCCCAGCTTGAGAAATGCTGAGCGTGTTCTTTCTTTTTGGTTTTCTGACTCCAGATCTTTGCACATTTTTTGTAATTTAACAGACTAGAGAGGATTATTTGACATTGTGGTCAGGAAAGAATTATGTGTAGAGGTGACATTTAAGGTAAGACTTGAAGGATAAGAAGTGGTTATTCTGCAAATAGTGGGAAGGAGTGATTTGATAGACTCAATGAGAAAGGAAAAAGTGGTAGAAACAGCAGTTGGAATTATAGCAAATTGTATACATTATTTTAATGACATTAGATTTTATGTAGGGACAGAAGTGATTGAGATTTGAAACCAGGTGGAAACATATTCTGATTTAGTCCTTGAAAGGATTATTTTAGCTGAGTGGATAATAGAAAAGGTACTTCAAGATAATATGTATGCCTAGATTAGGGTGGGTGGAATTAGTTGTTGAAAGAAGTAGATGGCTTCAAGAATTGATAGGATAGTACATTGGCCAAATATAAAGAAATTCTGTTCCCCCTTACCTCTTTCATGTCTTCATAAAATAGGTAAAGTATACGATAATCTTTCTTCTTCTCCCACCAGCCCTTCACATGATCATACCAGGAGCCAAAACTCACTAAATTTAAAGATAAAATATGTTCAAATTTTTAACTATTTAAGTGAATAAATAATTGCTAAATGTTATTATAAATCATGTTGGTCAACACACATTTATTGATACCTATGAACTAAAGACCACTCCTTGTCTATCAACTTGTCATACTGTGGGGGTTTGTTTGTTGCTCTAATGCTAGAAACTATGCCACTGGTATCTTCAATTCCAGCAGGGTCAGGGTGGACAGGTTTCAGCAGAGCTTCCAGACTAAGACTAGTAAGAAGGAGAAAAGATAACTTCTTAATGTAAAAGAGATGAACAGATCATTTCAAAATTTCTATGTAAACCTTCAGTCTTCTTTTGATGCTTTCTGCATCATTCGATATTTTGCCCAGGGAATACTTCAGTATTTCAAGTTGAGGGCTTGAAGCTTTTCTCAGACTCTTTCATCTTGATAAATGCAGAGCATGTTCTTCCCTTTTGGTTTTTTAACTCCAGTTCTTCACACATTTCATATAATACTTTACTTTGAAATTTGCTGTTCATTCCTTTGACTTCCATCTCTACACTAGAAAGCAAAATTCATAGCCTCTTCTGACATCCATTCATCAATTGAGTTTTTTTTTTTTCTTTCTTTCCTATCATTTAAATGACTAAATTTTGCTTTTTTCCTTGTTGATGTCACTCCACAACTCTTCTAGTCTTCTGTCACTATTGTCGAATGCATCAAATCTGTTCTTGAGATGGTCTCTAAATTAGATAGGATATGTTCAAGGTCATATTTTGGCTCTTGTAGACTTGGACTTGTGTTAATTTTCTTCAGCTTCAGCTTGAACTTGCATATGGGAAATTGTATGGTTGATTCTACAGTCAGCCTCTGGTCTTGTTTTTGCTGCTGATATTAAATTTTTCCACCATTTTTTCCCACAGATGTAGTCAATTTGATTCTGGTGTGTTCCATATGGTTAGATCGGAGTGGATAGTCACCTTTTATGCTGCTTAAATTTTTATTTGCAATGAATAAATCACTATTATGGTTGTTAGGTCCTGTTGAGTCATTTCCAACCCATAGTAACCCTATATAAAACAGAACGAAACACCACATGGTCCTGTGTCATACTCACAGTTGTTGCTATGTTTGAGTCCATTGCTAATGCCTCTGTGCCAATCCATCTCATTCCAAGTCTCCTTCATTTTTGCTGATCCTCCAAAACCATAACTCAAATGCATCAATGTTCTCACACTTTTCCTTATTCACTGTGCAACTTTCACATGCATATGTTGCTACTGAAAATACCATGGCTTGGGTCAGGCATACCTTTGTCCTTAAACTCACATCTTTGCTCTTGAACAATTTAAAGAGGTCGTGTCTAGCAAATTTTCATAATGCAATATGTCATTTGGTTTTTGACTGCTGCCTTCACGAGTGTTGATGGTGAATCCAAGCAAAATGAAGCCTTTGACAACTTCAATCTTTTCTCCATTTATCATGAGACAGCCACATCTTTGGCATTATTGTTCCAGTGGTAAGGATTTTTGCTTCCTTTACATTGAGGGGCAACCCATCCCAAAGGCTGTTGTCTGATAATCATCAGTAAGTATTTTTAGTTTCCTTAGCTTTCAGTAAGCAATATTGTGTCATCTGCTTATCACAAGTTGTTAATGAGTCTTCCTCTAATCCTGATGTATCATTCTTTTTCTAATAATCCAGCTTCTTGGATTATTTTATCAGCATACAGACTGAATAAATATGGTGAAAGAATATACCCTGACATGCGACTTTCCTCACTTTAAACTATACAGTGTCCCCTTGTTCTAGTTGAATGACTGCCTTTTGTTTACGTACAGGTTCCTTATGAGCACAATTAAGTGTTCCAGATGCTCATTCTTCATAGTGTTTTCCAGAGCGAGTCATGATCCACACAGCTGAAAACCTTTTCACAGTCAATAAAAACACAGGTGAACAGCTTTCTGAAATTCTCTGCTTTCAGCCAAGATTAATCTGAAGTCAGCGATGATATTCCTCGTTCCACATCCTCATCTGAATTGGCATGTACCTCTGGTAGTTCCTTGTCTGTGTATTGTTGCAGCCATTTTTGTATTGCCTTTAGCAAAATTTTATTTGCATATGATATTAATGATGTGGTTGAGTTAGTCATTGGTCTTGAAAAATTCTACCATGCAATTTCCAGCATCATTTCAATCACTGTGGCCATATTTTCCAACTACTGACTCTCGCTCTTTGTATCTCTGTATCTTTGTATTAGAACTTTGTATTACCTTGTAAAAAGACCTCCAAGATGAAAGGAATAATTGGACTCACCTTTCCCATCCATGAATTTGTCCAGGAACTCCTCCCAGGTACCAGGCTCTGGATGCATTTTTGCCATTTGGTAGAAATAATAGTAAGAGACAGCCACATCTTTGGCATTTCGTGCCACATAGATCATCTGTGCAGAGAAATGGGAAATCACAATTTTATTTATTTTCTTTAATAGTTATTAAATTTATGCTTATCCTGATATTATGCTTAATTTTGTTTTTCTATTTCCTAATCCTGGTGTAGCACTATAGGATGAGCATTGGACTGTGAACTGCATGGATAGCAGTTCAAATCCACCAGCTGTCCCAAAAAGAAATCTCATACAGGGTCTCTATGAATCAGAATTGAATCAATGGCACTTAACAATAGCAACAACATTTCCTAATCTTAGAATTTACAGTCCTATTTCTTTATATTCTGGTGTGGCACTGTAGGGTAAGCACTGGACTGTAGGATAAACGAGGTTGATGGTTCAAACCCACCAGATGCTCCTCAGAACCCTTATGCAGAGTTACTATGAGTTGGAACCAACTTGATGGTACTTTAAAGCAACAACAAAAACAAAGCTTGATATTTAAAGCTATACAAATTGTTTTAATGCAGACATTTCTTTCATGCTCTTGCTTTCTCTTTAGACTTTGGAAAAAGAAAACAATCTGAAGTATAAAAAAGCTACAATAAAAATAAAAATTTAAATTGAATTGGTATTATTCTTAAATTTAGAATAGTTTTCTTGAAAGAAATTTAAATCATTAGTAACAAATAAGTTATGAAGTAAATACCGAATTAGTGCAAGTTTTTTCATTTAAAATAAATTAGTATTTTGGTAAATTTAGTCAGGAAAGATTCAATAATCTTCATTGTGCCTACAATCATGGATACATAATAATCATTGCTGATTACAATGAGTTACATGTGATTAAATTTTATTTTCTGCATAAAACTTTTGAGTCAGCTTTGAGGCAAGGATTTTGAACACATTTTCCAATAGAAATGATATAGTTATGCCACATTGGTAATTAGGTTTCCAGACAAGTACACTGAAATCCATTAAATCTATATATTTCTGAGGCACAGCTAATAAAACCAATGCCCCAGCCACCCATGTGGCAAATATATTTTAAAAGGAAGAGTATTCAGGAATAAAGGAGCTCTGGTAACGTAGTGGTTATGAACCAGGCTGTGTACCGCAAGGCCAGCAGTTCGAAGCTACCAGCTTTTCCACGGGAGAAAGATGAGGCATTCTGCTCCCGTAAAGATTTACAGCCTTGGAAATCCTGTACAGGGTCGTTATGGGTCGGAACCGACTCCACGGCACACAGCCACCACCATTCAGGAATAATCTCCTTTCACCTAAATGGGACTAGAACTTGCTTTTCTCTAAATGATGGGCAGAAAAATGGAAACTTTATACTCCCAAGTTATTGATTGCTGTTGTTAATTGCCGTAGAGTCGATTCCGACGCATAGAGTCCCTGTATAGGGTTTCCAAGAAGCAGATGATGAGCTTGCACCACCGACCTTGCAGTTCAAATGACTTTGCAGTCTGACACATTAGCCCACAGTGCCACACCAGGACTCCAAGTCATTGATGTTGCTGTTGTTAAGTGCCAAGTGCCATCGAGTCAGTTCCGACCCATAGCGACCTTGTATAGGGTTTCCAAGGAGCAGCTGGTGAGCTTGAACCACTGACCTTGCAGTTCAAATGGCTTTACAGTCTGACGCATTAACCCACAGCACCACAAATAGTAGTCCTTATATTCTGAAACAAAGATGGAAGGAGGAAAGGAGTGACTGAAAAGAGGTATTTCAAAAGACTGAGTATATAGTTCTAAAATTTGAGACTTTCAAGGTAACTTCTTGAGAAAATAATAACTATAAATGTTTACAGTTACTCCATATTCCAATACTAGGAGACTCTTTTTTTTTTCCTTTCAGCATCACTTGATCAATAGATCCTTAGCAAGATCTGTTTGCAGTTTGCCTCAGTGTAGAAGACAAGGCTATCCTGAAGACATTCTTCCATTCTCCTAATTAATAGCAAGGCCTTACAAAGATTTTACTGCTGGAATTAAGATAACAAATCATAACCCTATTTTATTATTTCTTTGAGTTTAATTTGACTCTGAAGGTAAAGAGAAAGCCACACATATAAACATGTACAATGACACTCTGTATAATTATGATGAAAGTACAATCAATCGGTTTTTTTTCAAGTGTAAAAGAGTTTTTCTCAGTATCTTAAAGGTGTGAAACTCTAGGATAAGGACTGGACAGTTAATTGCAAAGTCAGAGATTCAAACCCCTTAGTCCTTCCTCAGAAATCCTATACAGGTTCCCCGTGAATTGTAACTGACTAAATGGCGCTTAAAAACAACAACAACAAATTAGATAAGTGCTGGACTACTAGCCACAAGTTTGAAGGTTCAAACCCACCACCTGTTTAATGGCAATCCTACACATGAACACTGTGAGTCAGAACCAACTCAACAACACTTAACAACAACAATAAAAAAGGCTCACTGGATGGCTTAAATACTCAACTTTGTTGTTGCATAGTGCTGTCAATTCTGACTCATAGTGACGCTATTTAGATTAAGATAACAAATCATAGCCCTATTTTATGATTTCTTTGAGTTTAATTTGACTTTGAAGAGAAAGCCACACATACAAACATGTATTTAGGGTTTCTGAGGAGCGTCTGTAAAGTTTGAACCATGGGTTTTGAAAATGAAACTGACCTTGTGGTTGAGTACTTGTCCTATAGTGCCACATCAGGACTCAACTAGTAGCTGAAAATTTGGCAGAGGAATCACAATAAAAGGTCTGGCAACCTGCTTCTATAAGAATTACAGCAAGAAAAACCCATGGGGCAATTTTACACTGTATCATGGGATCTTCATGACTTAGAATCACCTAGATAAAAATGTTGTTGTTGTTAAGTGCCATCAACTCAGTCTTGACTCATAGTGGCCCTGTATAGTGCTTTTAAGGAGCAGCTGGTGGGTCTGACTGCCAACCTTTTAGTTCAAACAGTCCTTTCAATCCAATGCCAATGCTAGATCACTGGGCTGAAGATGCACTTTCCAGATTCATTTCCCACTAATTGCAGTTGGAAATTGGAGTCCATTCAGATACACCTGGGAAGAAGGACCTGCCAATCTACTTCCAAAAAATTAGTCACAGAAAATAATAGGAAGCATAATTCTATTCTGACACACATGACTCAGAATCAACTCTATGGCAATTGATATTTATATAATTACAGGCAAAACAAGCAAACTAATTTATGGCAAAAGCATTCAGGATAGCGGTTGGAGGTTAGTGAATGGAATGGACAGGAACTGAATTTTTGGGGTAATGGTAATGTTGCCTTTCTTAATTTGGGTGATAGTTTCATAGACATGCTTACTTTATAGAATTCATCAAACTGTATATTAATAATTTATGCACATTTCTCCATGAATGTTATACTTCAATAAAATGTTTATAAAAAAGAAGCCTAAAACTAATCCATAATTAGAAATTATTATATTTGTCTTTTGAAAGTATGATGAGTTATTTAGGAGAAATAAATTCTGGTGCAATCTGATTATTGTTTAAAAGCAGTTGGCAATGAGCGAAGGCATTTAGTTAGAATGACAAGCAACTTTGAGACCAGACTCTGTCACTGAATCTAGTCTCTAAGTATTGGAATACAAATCACTGTTGAATGCACTGGTCTTATTTAATCCCTGGGATATAGGGTCAAATTATTTTTATAGTGACTTATCCATAGGTTGCCATATCTACACATATGAATAATTATTAAAAGAAATGACAACACAAATAACGACAGTTTTCCTTAAAATGTGCTACCTTGCAGTCATTCTTCCAGAATGAAGAAGGGAGAAGTTGAACAGGTAGATGTGTTTTTACCAATCGAGGAGACTGCATATTTTTCAGCTGCTCAGTGCCTACAAATACCAAAATTAACAAACTATATATTACAAATGTGAAATCATGAAAGTTAATTTAAATATAATCTAAGACCTTAGGTAGTTAAATTTCATTATATGACTTGAAATGGTTAGTCATAAAATGGCTATGCTCCTAAAATTTAGACTACTTTATTACCTATCAGTAGAAGAAGTTTATTATCTTCATAAATGTCCATAAAATACTTAGATATACCTTGGTAGAACAGAAGGAGCAGTGGGTCAAGAGTCAAGATGTCTTGATTTTTCCTTCACATATTTTTATTTTTTTCTTAGTTATGATAAGAACATGAGCCAGAGAATTTCAAACTCCCTTTCCAACTTTTTGATATTCAAATTTTAAGATTAAACTAAATGTAAGATAGTTTCACCTGTCTTTAAAATGTTTCATTGCAAAACCATTTATTTCCATAGTCTCTCTAGTTTATAAATAAGTTAACCAACTACATACATAAATTTATATTGAGTAAAACATTGCATTTTCTTTCCCTGATATTCACTTGTTGAAGACTTCCATCTACTTTACTAAGAAAAAAAAAAATTATATCAAAATCTATACTTATGCCCAAGTTATGTTTATGTGAATGAGCAGTGTAATATAGTTATTTGCATAGCCTATATTTCACTGTTCTAAAATACTAAATCTAACCAAACTCAATTGATGAGTGGAGTCTTGATTCTAACTTACTGCACCCTTATAGATCAGAATAGAATTGCTCCTTTAGGGTTTTCAAAACTGTAAATCTTCATGGAAATAGACTGAAATGTCTTTCTCCCACAAAATTGGTCGGTTCAAACTGCTGATCTATTGTTTAGGAGCAAAATGGACCAATGGACCATCACTCTTACAACTCAACTGTATGTATAATTTTCCACTATGACTCTTTCAAACATCACAAAAAGGGAAATTTGCTTCTATAGTGAAAAAGAACAATTTGAAAAATACCATTGATGATGCCAGGGATTATCAGTTCCATGAATGGTACTCGGTTATATATTGCATCTCGTTTACATTTCTCAACATCTCCGTTGTTATAGATCAAATCTAGTATTTCACTGACCCAAGTTGTTCCTGAAAAAAAGAGAAACTCCATAAAATTTCTAAGAAATATCGCATAAGAAAGGCAATAAAGACAGCACTATATAACACCTAAGACAAAATTGCTCTTCATTTCTTCTTCCTCTCCCTTCTCATCCCCTTTTCTCTGAAGAATCTTTTTGCATATCAAATACATAAACATACACATTGTGTGTGTGTGTGTGTGTGTGTAGACTCTAATTTAAAATAATCATAAAATTAAGACTTGAAAAGGAAGTAAACATACTAAAGAGACTCTGTATAGTGGAATCTTGATATTGCACTGTAGGATAATTACTGGACTGCTACAGAGGTTCAAACTCACCAGTCACTCCTCAGAAACCCTATGCAGGGTTGCTATGAGTTGGAATTTAACAATAAAAACAGCATAAGTAATAACAGCATAGCCAATTGGGTAGAATGAATGGGGTAAGAAAAGGCTGACCACTAGCAGTTAACAAAATAATGGGTCTGATCATTAATTTGCACATTTCCTATCAATGTAAAAGGTCTGACTAGACTTCTATAGTCAAAAGTATTGAAGCTTTTTGTCTAACATTATTAGTTTAATGTCTTGTGAAGGAAGAAAAGGGGAAACAAATAGGAATGTTGTGATTTCATTCATGGTATCCAGCATGCAACTCACAAGCCAAGGAAAATGGCTTTTAAATCAGTAGAGTAGAACAAATCACTGTGACCTTCATGATATTGTGACTCATCATTGTTTTGAGAAATGGATCTAATGTATATGAGGATATGGTATCTTATCCATCTCTAGCACTTAATGATTAGGCGATTGAGGCACTGCTATTACAAAAAAAAAAAAAGTAAAACATAAGAGAAAAACCTTAACTATTGCCATTTCTTTTGACTTTCTCAAAGGTATAATCCCTTAACTGAAAGATCATTGTTGGACTCTAAAAACTTAAAGTGATCATTAAAATAATTAAGTCACACACAGCAGCATTTTTGAAGAATGATCTATGCCCCCTTTTTAGCAGATAGTACTTATGGGAAATATCTCCTCTTTTTTGTCCCTAAATTATGAGGTAGGCAATCTCTCCACCCTTCTAAAAGGCAATTACAATGCGAAAAGAAAGGTGAGTCAAAATTAATACTATCTTTGAACTTTTCTTTGCCTGATTAAGGCCTAGGCTTAAGCAATAGAAAAGACAATCTAATTCCAAAGTTCAATATAGCACGTTTCCAGTTGGTGAGCAGTTCAAGCTGTGACCTGTGAAATCTGACTGAGGCTAATGCCAATGTACCTACCTTGTATGCTTTATATTGGAAAGGGTTGTTTTATGTGATATATGAAAAGAAAAAAAATAGCACATGACTTAGCTTATGTAAGAAGATGATTCAACATTTATAACAAAATTAACAAAGCACTGATATGTTCAAAACTTTAAGATGTATTCTCAACAGTTTTTAAAGTAGCCAGAATGAATGCAAAATGTACCAAGAGATAATGTAAGTAAGCTCTGATGAACCATTTAGCTTCCACTTTGCCAAAAATTTTCAGCTTAAAAGAAAATCTTCATAGATGAACTTTGTTTTCTATAACAGAACCATCTGGCAATTACCTTATCGGCACTACTTTTGAATATATCCAAAAACAACAAAACCAATAGAGTATGAACATTGTAAGTGATTTCCCTCCCAGCTCTAATCTTGCATCGCATCAAAGTAATAAAACATGGTTTTGATCCTAAATGATTCAAGTTTGGTAAGATATTCAGAAAACTATGTAAAATATATATAAAAAAATATATATATATTTTTTTTGCCAAAACAAGCATGTTTTTAAAAATACCCACACAGGTCTGTGTTTGTTTTTATGCTAGAATCTCTTTGCTTTCATCAGTGTTTGTGCTTTGAATGTGTTACATCCAAAGCCCCGAATTTCTGAAATTCAGGGCTTTCAGTTCTGGACTTGTTACATATTCTTTTCAAAGAATTTTGTTATTTACAATCCATAAATAAAGATCAATAGTTAATGTATGTATATATTATAAAAACCCACTTTCCTGACACCCATTTAGGAATGAGGTAGGACTATAAAGGAAGATTAGATTTAGAGATTTTAGTAACTAAATTGATTATGGGCTCAAGTAAGTTATTTGGAAATAAAAAAGATGATATAGTCTCATGTATAATACTTCTCAGTGCATGTATCACTAAGTGAATCATAAAACTGTCATAAATGCATCTGTCTTTCATAAATCAAAATAATTGATTCTTATTCAGTTGTCTTAAATTTTTCTACCCAAGTTCTTATTTCTTTTGCTAAAGGTAATACAGAAACGGCTACAATCATACATTGACAGAGAACTTCCAGAGGTTTAAGATGGATTCAGAAGAGGCCGTGGAACAAGAGATATCATTGCTGATGTCCGATGGATCTTGGCTGAAAGCAGAGAATATCAGAAAGATGTTTACCTATGCTTTATTGACTATACAAAGACTTTCGA